TGGCATCGGGTGCCTGGACTGAAGTAAAGAGAGACCTGATCTAACGCGAGCATCCCAAAACCCTAAACCCTATAAGCCCTCATCTCTCAGGAATTTGGCCTTGGCAGCTGCGTGTATGCGCAGTCCTCGGAGCTCGGGAGTCCTTCGGCCCCAGGACTCCGAGCAGGGCCTGGGGAGAGGGGGGGGGGAGTTTTAAACTCTTTTGGGCCTTGAACCTTGCTTCTGAACTTTTGGGTAAGACTTGCCAGTCTCTTCAGCTTCATCCCAGCCACCCGAAAGCCAACTCAAGACTTAGAAAACCACAACGTAAGGCGCGCCTTTCGCGGAGCGGGCCTCGGCAGTGAACCTGCAGAGCAATGTCGAGCTTCGGAGGAAAGATGCTTTTGTGGGACGAGGCTTGAGGGCAGAGTATAATGCTGGGAGACTTGTGGCTGCTTCTGGACTATGACCCGAGGCAAGGACGCGGCAGAGGCCCCAGCACCAGAGAAACAGCTGACAGCTGCAAGCTGCGCTGCATGGCCGGAGCCTCGCAGAGCCTTGCACAGTCTGCCACTTTGGGCGTGCTGCGAGGATCCGTTTTCCTCATGTTCTTGGCCTGGTAATTATTGAAATTTCATGCCGGAACTCGCTCTCGAAGATCTTTGGACCAGTTTGGTTTGAGTGCCACGCTGCCGTCTCCATCTTCAGGGCCAGCTGCAAGACAGCATTGCAGAAGGCTCTGCTGACCGGCACGCTGGACCAGGTTGGCCGGGGTGCCATCTGGCAGCGGTCAGCCAGCCACGTGTTCTCATTTGCTTTGCATTGGAAGGTTTTGGCCAAGCTGGTGCCGGCAAGGCAGGGCACAGTGCTGGTGGCTCTAATCTTCGAAGTGGTCGCTACGATGTGCACTCTTATCGAAGTGTGCCCTGATGTGACACCTGGTCCAGTGGAGCAGGCGTTTGGGCACGAGTCTTAAAGGGTGTATGAAGTTGACCTACTTCCTTCATCCACGTGTTCTCACAGGCCATTGTTGAGGGGTGTTTGCAATTCGTGTTGTGCTCTGCGAGGCTGCCTGATGCAATCCCACACACGCTCAAAGGTGTGCCGGGTGCGGCAGGTCGGGCCGACTGCACATTTGGGCAGGAACGGGGTGCACAGCCGAGTTCCCGAACTTTTTGGATGGTTTGAGGTCCCACACCTCAGTGACGGGCCCCTGGTCCTTGCTTTGGGTTCTGCAAACTGGAAATCTGGGCTCGAACCCGAATTTGCTGTAGAGAGCTGCAGAGCGTCTTAATGCATCGTAGCTGCCTTGAAGTTTTCATGGCGGGGTTGGCATGGTGTCGGGAAGAGGCTGTCATGGATTCATCGGAAAGGGAGCCGCGGAGCGATCGCAGGTATTATCATGTCAGCCTGGTGTTATCACAAGTGTGATCGTTTCTTCAATTGTCACACAGTCTCATGCGTGTGCCATGCATCTGGCCACCATCTGGCACACCAGGGTGTCTCGAACATTCCTTAGACACGTCATGGATAGGTCTTTTGCTTACACATCTCAGGCAGGTGATAGAATTGTGGCGGGCTTTTCCGTCACCCAGCTGGTGGGGATTGTTTGAAGCCAAAAAGCTCATTATCAAAGCTGCCACTGGTGTTGAGGGGAATGTCAACTTCTCGCAATCGCTTTGCTCGGATACGTTGATGTACCGGTCCTGATGCTCGGATCTTCCTCCGTTCTTCTTGAGCAAGCAGCTAAACAAGCAAACTGGCACCGACGTCTGCTCGCTGCATCAGGCGCTTTGGACACGACTTCGTTGATGCAAAGTCTCAACAAGATGCTTGAGGCGGGACGCCGTTGCTGGATTGCAGAATTTGCAAGTTTGACCGGCTCAGGGTGGATGGTTGATACGCATCTCACTCACCCAAAACCCCAAGTCTAGACTCCTGAACCCTAAACTGCAACCTTCGTGCTGTTAGATCCTAAACTAAGTCCCCTACATCCTCCACACCATAAGCTGCCCCCTAGGTCCTGAACAGGGTTCTCCGACTTCTCAGGCGGGGCGCGAGCTCTGCGGGGAGGTCCTGTGCCAGGCCGTGGCGGATGCTCCCGAGCTGGTCAGGAGCTCTTTGTTTGGGTTTATCGGGATTTAGGGTTTAGCCCTTAGGGTTTGGGGGTTTAGGGGTTGAGGGTTTAGGGTTCTAGGTTGAAACAGAGGGTTTAAGGTTTATGCTGGGGTTTGGGGTTTCATCGGGCTTCAGGGTTTGCAATAGGGGGTTTGGCTTTGTAGTAGGGTTCAAGATTCATTTTAGGGCTTATAAACGGGTTAAAGGTTCATAATATGGTTAAGGGTTTGTTTCAGGTTGTGTGATGGGGTTTAGGGTTTATGGTAGTGTTTCGGGTTTATGGTTGCGATGAGCTTTCGGGTTTAATAGTAAGGTTTAAGGTTTATCACGGGGTTTAGTTTGTGTTGAAATTGGGTTTAGGGCTGTTTATAGGGGGCATGTTTGTTTATTCTGGCATGTACAACGGGGCTTGGGGTCTGCGGTTTAGAAAAGGGCGTTCAGGGTTTGGTAGGGTTCGCAGTAGACCAGGGTTTAGGGTTGAAAGTAGGGTTGGAGGTTGTCAATTTGACTTAGGGTCTTGTTTGAGGATTTTTGATCGTATTTAAAGGTTATGATCGGGTATAGGGTTCATGGTAGGGTTTGCAATAGGGCTTTCTTTATAGTAGGGTGTAGTTTTTTTTTGCAGGGTTTATTGTAGGGTCTAGGGTGTATAGCAGGGTTTATGTTCATGGTAGGTTTGCAATGGAGTTTGGGAATAGGGTTAGCTTATCAAAAGCAGGGTAGGGGGCTTACGACAGTTGGATTCACGGTTTAAAGTTTGCAACAGTGTTTTTGGGTTTATTAGGGTTTAGGTGTTATAGTAGCGTTCACGGCCCATCTAAAGGGCTTATATATATATGTATGCATATATATATATATATATATGTATATATATATATATACATACATATATATATATATATATTGATTGGGGTTTGAGGTTTATATACAGGGTTTATGTTGAGGATTCGGGTTTTTGATGGTTATGGTAGGGCTTGCAAGAGGGTTTTGGGCTTATAGTAGATTTAGGGTTTGTGTTCGGGTTTATGATAGGGTATCAGGGTTATAAAAGGGTTTAGGGCTTTGTTACAGGGTGTCGGGTTTAGGGTTTACGATGGGGTTTAGGGTTCAGGGTTCAAGTAGTTGGCTTCGTGTAGAAGCCATTCTGGTCAGTACAGAGGTTTGCCGTCTGCTTCTGTGAGTTCCTTCCGCTCTGACTCGGGAGAGAGGGAGTGTGGGGAGGGCGATTTCCGCTAGAGTCTTTGTATTACTATAACACTACACTGTAGCACCACTGTATTACAGGAAGGAGGCCCGATTGTTGGATTGTTCCGCCGTGCAGTGGACCTGCCCATTGGACTGGAGCCTACAGGTCTTCGGTCTTGAGCTTGAATATTAACGGCTAATAGTACCGATGAAGTTTGCATCAAGCTTAAGAAGGCTCATAAGAGCAACATGCATCAGAAGAATAAGAACAGGAATTAAGACTAGCTATAATCACAGTCGTTATGTAGAGACAGGCATCCGGTGTGTCTTCTGCCGGTGCTCCGGCTCTGAAGGAGAGCTATTTGGCAAGTTTGTAGCAGCTCCAAGAAAGAGCCTCAGCCGTTGCTGCCCTTACCCCTTAGAACCGACAGAACAGACCTTTCTCACAGGCCACAACCGGATTTTATGATTTAAAGTCAGTGTACTCTTTACGGACTTCGAGCATGCGAATCTTCGTGAACAACGTCGACGGATTCCTCGCTGGTGCTGGGCTAAGTAATGGGAGTAATGTCACGGAGAAGGAGCCAGGTTGAGCTTGAGCTCATGGATAGAGTGCGCAGTGCTTGTAAGGGAGTGTGTGCCGGCATGATGCTGATGCTGTCGTGCTGGTCCAGCGTGCTTGCTGTTGTAGCTTCACTCCTGGCACCGTGGCAAGGCAACAGGTGCTTCATGGTGTTTGCAGTTTGTTTGTGGTCCTGCAGTGTTGGGCTTCACGACCGTGGAAGGTTGTTTTGCCGACAGACACCCTGACATCAAGCAGGTGCTCTTTGCGCCGACTTGGCCAAGCTTACATCGGACATAGCCAAGACCTCAGCTTGGCCATACGAAGACTTCGTTAGACACTTTCGTAAAGCCTTGTCCGTCCGTTCCCTTTCATTTTTTTTGGTGGTGGCTACCATGCATGTGGACAGGAGCCCTTTTGAAGCAACGGCCGTAAGCCAGCTCCGTCGAAACCTGCTGTGGAATTTGGAAGCTTGGTAGACCGTGGAATGACATCATGCAGACATGCTTCACCTCATGCTAGGGGTACTCTGAGCGCCTGATTCCTCACCTTTTCCGGAGATGTTTATCTATTCAGTTTGCTTTCCCACTCTCCCGTTCCGGTCCCATCCATCATTGCGAGTTGGAGTTGAACTGGAATCCCGTTGCAGTCAGGAAAGCAGCCTCTTTCCGAGTCCAGGAGTAGCTGCTGAGAGTTAGCGTAGCCTTTCGCTTTGGCAAAAGCGACAGCAACGAGGTCGGCACGAAGAAGACAGGTCGAGATGAACTTATTCCTCCGTCAGTGAGGAGACTTGTGTGTGGCCCCTACAGTCCTGAGGTGGTGCGAGATTGAGGTCATTGTATTGGTTCAATATCTCACAAGACTGCGATGGGGTGTTACAGTTTTCTGTAGCGGTGACATGGTGAACATCTTCAGGCAACTCTCACTGAGCCCCCGTTGAGCCTTCATCGATGCTCGCGCTACAGGTTTAAGCAGGTCACGTAGATCAGCACCACCTAAAAAACCTCAGCATTTGCAACATTAGCAGGTTTCAGCCCCTAGTGCTCGGATCGTGCAGCACCAAGTATCCAGCGCAGCGGCCCGCAATCGCGCCGGAAGCACTGAAGCCGTATCAACCTTCATAACGCCTTGTTATAGCCAGTCTCGTTCCAGAGCCATGGCAGCACCCAAATCGCCAAATCGTTTGGCCGTCCCCCTGACCCCGGAGATGGTTGCTCGGCTGCAGCTTATCAACCGGAATGCCTCACTTCATTGCCTCCTTTGAGTTGTTTCTTTCTGTGTGAGTCCGCGCATGTCAGCCTGAAAGCTCCTTCAAGCCTGACCCTGGCCCGGACCAGGCTGCCTGTCAGCAGAATAGCAGATCTTCTGGAGTCGGCACTTAGATCAGGGCCTCATGCCGTCTCAGGTAGACATCCAGGGTGCGTCGGACCGGGCAGAAATGCTGGTCGGCCGCGTGCGTTCGCGAGGGCGCTATCACAAGTTCCAGGAGAAGCGCGGAAGAGCAAAGACAAAGTGTGAGTTAGGGCTCCGGTCATGCGGAAACTGCAGCGTATAAACTTTGTTTTGCCATGTCTGACTCTGGAAGAAGTGCGACACCGGGAGTTAAAGCATCTATGGTCTGACTGCCTTGACACCGCATCTGCTCCAGATAGCAAGTGGCACGTTCGGCGCGCAGGAGAGAAGACTGGAGCAGGACTACACGGCCTCTTGGCGACGTTTGTTCATGACTAATTCAATTGCAGGAAGCACTGGTGCATTACTGTGTTCTTGTCCAAATTCTTTCATCCTCGATGTGTATGGCACGGCTGATTGAAGGTTTGTTTCTATTCTTTAGGCCATCCGTCTGGAGAATGCGCCGCTGCATAGCGAGTGTTTCTTTGCTGGATACCTAAGACACTCAGCGGACGCATTCTTTACCCTGGAAGAATCAGAATGGCACTTGCTGCTTCAAGAACAGGGTCACGCTTTCCATATTGCTGTTGGTCTCTGTGTCGCGAGAAAGTGGGAACATGTGGGAATGCTTCCCCATCTTTGCAGAACGCAAGACTCGAATTTGCGGCGGACCGGCATGCGGCTGGTGTTGCATAGAAGGTAGTGTTTCTAATCTTCACTGAAAGTGTTAACTATAGTTGCCTGGCATGGCAAAGCAAAGCCGGAGCAACACTATTTCGGTCGCCGTCGTCGACCTGATTCTGAACTTTGTGCAAAATAACTCGGAGATTTCACCCCAGCGTTTGCATCTGCGTTGTCTCTGCCAGGTGGACAAGGGCCACGTGCTTGGAAGTGGCGCAAATGGCCAGGTCAGAGCTGACAGCAGATGTTTGATTCACAGGTTGAATGCATTGGCTTCAGGGCTTCATGAGCGCGTTTCGCCACTGAGCTTTTGGGCCCTAGGATTTTTTTTGGGCGGCCCTATGCAACTCTCACTCAGCGTTCCTCCTAATGTACAGTCTGTGAGTAGATTGAAAAGGAGTTGGCTGTGAGGAGTGTCTTGCACGTTGGCAGCCTCACTAGAGTACTCCAAAAGTGGCGGTCTACAGCTAGTCTGTGAGCCTGTAGATATGGGCCCTAGGATTACGGGTTTCAATTCGGCGTAGGTGCAGGCCATGTAGTAACTAGTAACTGGTAGCTCTCGTGATCTGCACACCAGAGAGTTTCGGTTCCCTTGGCTTCCAAGTGAGCCATGAGTTATGAGCTATGAGCATCACTTCTATGCTACCGCTCAGTTGAACTGGGGTTTTGGAGCAGGGGTTCAGGTTTGCTTTGCTGCGCATTTTGGGCAAAAAGCTTTGTCTATGGAGCCTGGCTTTCCCTGCGATGCCTTGCTCTCAAAACCAACTGTCAGCAGCTCTGGTGGAGAGGTTTCATTTTCAGCAGTAGCTGCTACGGAGATTCGAGTCGCAGGTTTGGCTTGTGCGCAGCCGTCACAACAACCGAGCTTTCGCAGCCAAGCCTGGGGCTTGGAGTTTCCGCGATTTGTTGCTTGGCCCATGTTCTGCGGCATAGGACATATCGGCTAGCTGGCATCTCTGAGCTCAAGTGCCGGAGTCCCAGTCCCCGGTCTTTGGAGCTCCAGCGGTGCAGCTGTGAAGCCAGGCAAGGAGATCGAGACTGAAGTTGAGATTCTTCTAACCGTCGATCATCCAAACCTGGCTCGCATGGTGGATGCTTACGAGACAAAGGACCGGATCGGCTCTACTCTGTGGGGTCGAAGATGCCAACTCTTGCTTCCGCAGGCCTCACTCACGCTCGTCATGGAGCTCCTGGAAGGAGGACGAAAGCCGTGCTTGGTTCGTAAAAGCTGGCAGAGCTTTCTAGACATTGCGAGTAGGTGCGTGGCATCCGCACACATCTCAGATCCGCACACTACAGGAGAACTCTTCGACCGTATACTCGCTGCAGGCACGAACTGATTCGCAGAATGAGGGCTTAACTTCTTCAGGGAATCGGCCTGTTCGATGGGGTGTGGGGAGGCCATTTCACCGAGCGTGATGCTGCAGAAGCAATTTGGCAAATGCTGCTTGCCATCAGCCTCCTGGCAGTGAAAGTTGATATCCTTCGCCTTAGATGCTTTGTTGCAGGGCACCACGAACTGTCGAGCGGACAGTCTTGTGAGGAGAGTAGTTCGCATTGTCGTCAGCGGCCTCAAGTAGCGCAATTCACCAAGCATGGTCGCAATTTTCTGTGTTCTGCGCAGTCTTTGTATCTTTGTGGCGGCTCGGTATTCCCGATGTAGAAGCTGTTTTCTGATCCGTGCCTTACTTGACAAGGATATCTGCATGGCCCGGAGCCCAGTCGGGTGCAGCACCGTTCAGGATCTTGGGAAAAAGGTCAAGGCTCGGCGCAGATCGGCAGTCTAGGGTCGTTTCTGCCAGGGAGCTGTCTTGGTTGCTCGTCCGCAGGCAGATTTTTGTTCGGGGCCCTTCGTTTAGAAGAGAAGAGGTCTCGGCATCGTGCACCGGGATGTCAAGTTGGAGAACTGGCTGTACGAGAAGAAAGGTGGTATGCTGGCTGCATCTCAGTGTGGAAGACCCACTCTCTAAGCTCGCTGAAGTCCTACCAACAACGCAGTGGCAGGGAACCATCCTGAAAACACCGAGCCAAAGATTGCAGCACCATGGGCGCACATGCAGTCTTCACTGGCAGGTGGACTAGACGAGATTTATATCTGTCAATGGACTATTCGTACTAGCAGATGCACATGAGAAGGCAAACAACGGTGCTGTTTGCTTTCTTTTCGGACTTGAATTCAGGCCAAGACTTGAAGCTCATTGACTTTGGCCTCTCAAAATTTTGGCGGCCGGACAAGAGCATGGAAATGCGTGCCACTCTGCGGATGTTGGCAGCTCGTGGCTTTAAGTTTGGCTCCCATCAAGGTTGCTGCAGCTGCCTCTTTTCGGAGTCTTTTGCAATGCCAACTTCTGCAGGTTATCTGAGCCCATCAGTCGCTGTTCGGTGAGATGCTAGAGGGTCTAAGTTCCTCGGCCAAGGTTGGTACGCTTGACTACATGGCGCCAGAGGCTTTGTGCTGGGCTTCTTTTCGGATCTTGGCGCAAGCTGTGGGAGCTTTCGACCCGGGTGTGCCGGGGTGACCTAAACTCCTAACTTCACAACCCGAAGTCCTGCACCAAACCGAGCCGGCTCCCAAGCCCTAAAAGTGCCCATGGCCTATAAGCTTTCGACTGGACCTGCTAGGCTTCTGGACAAAACGAAACTTGTAACATGGGGCTTTGTGGAAGCCCACCAAAACCTCTGCGGGCCGTCAATCCTGCTGATGTGATCCGTTATACTATACATCTAGAAGCTCGAAGTCTTTCTGTAGCGGCAGCCGGGAAGCGCAAAAACTCACGTTCAGTCGGGCAACAACTTTCCGTTCAACGCCGAGTCATGCCGAAGTCGGAAAAGGCTATTGCGAAAAGTTGGACTCTGTCGCACCTGTGCTTCCTCAAGAAAGCGTTGCAGACAGTCCGTAGTTGTGTGGTCAAGAAGTGTGACAGAATGTTCGTGCTTGTGCTCGAGTTGGGGTATTTGCAGAGCAGTTTTTTTTCCTGGGTGTCTAGGTCAGGCCGACCAAACTGGAATGAAGAACCTGGGGAATCCACACACATGGAGGTGCTTCACCGGAACTACACGTCAAAATGTGACCTGTGGAGCCTCGGTGCCTTGCGCCCAGAGACTTGTCCATGACGTGCCGTCTCCCTTGTGTGATTCGGTTGAACTCCGAAGCCTGAGGTCATTGCCTACACATTGCTTGTGGGAAGCTTCCCTTTCTCTGGAAGAGATGGCGACAACGCCATGCTGCAGCGGATAGCTGCGGGAAGGTGGGTGCCGGGTTGCCCTTGGCTCATCATCGGCTCAACCCAACGTCGCCGTGGGTCCAAGCAGATGGGCAGGTTTGCGACGGAACGTGATGCCTGGAAAAATGCCTCGCCATCTGCCAAGGACAGCTCATAGGTGACAGGACTGAGAACACTTAGAGCCTAGATGTTGTCAGGACTTCGTTTGCAAGCTGCTGACGGCTTTGTTGGTTGCAAGAAGTTGGCAGGAGTTTTTTCTGAATGCAAGTCGCTTCCGCTGTTTCGGGTTCTACGATGCAGCCAAGGTGGAGGCTCGTCGGCGACCCGATGCTGACCAGGCCCTCCAGTCCCCTGGCCTGGATAGTCTCAGGGCCCAAAACCTATGATTTTCTTTGTGCTCCGCGTCTCGGACAGCCTCAAGGCACCCCTGGATTTCCAAGCGCGAGTCAGTGGCTCGCAGCTATGTCAGCAAGGACTGAAGTAGGCGCCAATTCGTGCAACACTGCTGCGGAAGTTCTCGGAGTGGCTTCCAGACTACGTGTTCGGACGCCAGGACATCGTCGATGCACTTTGCTCTTTCTCTGAAGCATCGGCCTTTCGCCGAAGCTCGCTTGAGATGAGTCTCCATCAGGGGGTTGTAGGGCGGGCTGCCGGCTGAAGTTCAGTGGCAATGGAATCACTTCAGTCTATAGCAAGACAGACGGCAAGAGCTCAGCAAGAATCCTCAGCAGCCGTGGCCCCGCTGATAGTCCCTCATGAAGACATTAAGTATTCTCCAGGCCGTGTAGTTTGAAGTCGCTGAGGTGCTTGTTTGCTGGTCATGGCCATTTCCCTCTCCAACGAGGAACCGACCCGCAAGCCCTGTAGCAGTCCTTCAGGAAGCTCATGTGCAAAAGCTGCCGATACTTGTAGCATCTGTTCTCATCGATGAGCCACGAGCATGTGGGCAATGGCCCAAGTGACACGACACGCAATCACGAGCAAGAACGCCAAAGACTGTCCGTCAGGAGCGTGCCGAGGTTCACAAAGCCTTTCTGGAGATCGACAAGGCCCTTTCTGGTTCGGATCCGCAGTTGGCGGGGAGTGTGGCGGCCGCAAAGGCGCTACAAGTAGCTCTCGAAGGTGACCTCAAGCTTCTCCTTTTCATTGGGTCCCTTCATGCCCTACATTACCTATATAGCCGCAACTCGCTGAATCCACGTCCTCAAATCCGGAACCATCAGGATGCTTCTAAGTTCGACCCCCCCCCCCCCCCCCCCCNNCCCCCCCCCCCCCCCCCGCCGCGATGCACGACTCCACCTTTCAAGCGGGCCAAGAACGACTCACAAAGCTCCAAACGGTAGGATCACAGTGGCACGATTACCCTCAGCGAGCTTCGCAGTGTCCTCGAGGACGAGTTTTCGGGGAATCGGGGGCACGGGGGGGAGGGATGGATTTGGAATGTCGAGTTTCTGCTTTTCAGCTTCAAGAGTCGGCGCTAAAGCCGTCCGAAAAAAGTCCTGCCGATGCATCCCGTGCATGCGCATCGCTGGTTTCAATCGCTGAGGAGAAGTTCCACATTGAGGATGCAGCGGTAGCCAGGACAGCATGCATGCAGTTCCCTACAGTGGCTCCGTGTCAAGACAACAAGAATCTCAGAGAGACGCAGCTGTGAGCAGGCTTTGGGAAGCGGGCTGTAAGCTTCTTGAGCGGCTCAGCTCCGGAACTTGCTGTAGTTGTTTTAGGCGTGTAGATGGCATCGGCCTGTTCCTCTGGCAGGTGTCAGATGAGTTTTGCTTGGCGCAATACGACGGACGTGTTTTGTAACAGATGCCTTTGCACGGCTTTCTTGCAGCTGTCGTCAGGACATTCCAGTCGCTTCAGTCCCCACTGTCCAGACCAGTGCTCAGGAGTTCTCAGGCATTTCAGCACAGCTGCACAAGAGACTACTTTCCCTTGCACTGCCCAGATAATGTCGCTAGCTGAGCTAAGGAGACGAGGTGATTAATTACTCAGATTTCCTGGCCGCGATGATGTCAAAGCGCATCTGGGCCGAAATCGCCTTTGAACATCCTACCGATCGGAGGGGCTATGCAGTGTGCAGGGAAGTCCCAGTCTGGAACTGTGCTCCAAGCAAGTACGGAGATTCGCATGTGCATGCCTCAAAGATCTATCCGATTCGACACGGAGGATTCAACCATGAATTAAGTAGTGGGCACGGCCTTAGACGCGGCTGATGGAGTTTACTGCCAGGCATCTCCATCCATGATGATCTTCTGCATGATGCCTTCGCACGGTTCGACACCGACAACTCTGGCTACATCACGCTGCCGAAGCCCGGGGGCTTGGACAGTTCGTGAGAGCATCAGAAGTGTATTACGGAACATGCTGCTGACACTCGCGATGTGAGCAGACGGTAAGAGCTCAGTTCGAAAGCCATGCCAAGGAATTTTGGGGGGGATTCGGGATGTGTGCAGGCTCGCAGACCTGTGGGTGGGTAGGTGGTTGGAGGGGCGCATTTGCCAGGAACGCCTTGCTGGTCACGCATGCCGCTTTCCATGTGTTGACGCATGTGTGTGTGTGTGTGGCTTCATACATATATATATATATACACATAAATCATATATATGCAACATACAGTACACGCCTGCAAAGCACCTGAATGGTCTACCCTGGTGCAGGTACCGAGCTTCGTGCATCGATCGTCGGGTTTCGGAGGACGTAGGAATGTCAAACGAATGCAGCACAAGTGCTGTCATGCAAAAAATAGTTCAACCAGTACATACATATATACATAACTCTATATCTGTATCTATCTATCTAT